TTACCCAGCATTGCCAACTGTAGTGGAGTAGTGGATTCATCGCGTTTGCAAGAAGGACATTTGCCATTTCTCGTACGGTTGCAACTCGGGGGGCTTTCCTCGCTCATCCATGGATAGTATCCACTGGGTAAGAGTTATTTCTTCAGTAACAGACAGTTTTCGATTCCTTTCCTGCGCATGCTCTCGCGTCGTACGGCCTTTCAATCGATCGTGTAATGTGGAATGGGGAACATCATATAACACAGAAGCTTTTCGCAGACTTGAGACTTGGCCCTTCTTATATGCTTGAAGAGCCAAAAGAATCTTTCCTTCCTGATTGGAAGCTTGTGGGAGTCTTGAGGTAGGCATTTTTGTTGATGGGAGTGGAGGCGCGTAAGCGTGGTGAGAAGTGTCCGACTAGGTCATTTGTCCGACTAGGTTATAGATTACGTTAATAATAATTAACGCTGATACACCAGTGAATAATATTATTTCAATTCAACCAGCGAGCCCACCTGGTCGAGCGAGGCCAATGGGGACACGGCAGAGCGGGAGATAGCCACGCTATCGATCCCGCCGCCTCCACTAACCAAGGGCGTTCTGCCCGTCACGGAACTAGCCAAGCGGTCCGATCCAGCCAGTCTGCCAGTGCTGCACTCACGCTGTCATCATTTAGGCCTCCTGTATCGATTTCAAGTGCTGCTTTAGTTGCAGGTTAGTCCAGCGAAACCGGCCCAGACAATATGCCGTGCTTCACCGGGGTAAGATGCGTGACTAATTAGAAAATTTTAGGACGGAAGACCCATTCGGGCCATTGCGTCCTAGGATTCGAACACGACGGACTCAGGTTCAATATCAGCACAATTCTTATGCGAATGTGGACGGATACTAGAGAAAGAGAAGACGAATCGCACCGGTGCGTTGTTCGGTATCTGAAGAGGACATTCTTTTTTTTAACCTTCTCTCCTTGTAACCTTTTAACCCCAATGTCCACAGCTCTACTACGCTGACGAGTCGCATTGCTCCCTTTTTTTTGCCCCTTGTGCTTCTTCATTATTATTCCACGCATTCATGACCCGCCAAGCAGTAGCCTCCGTGGGCAAAGCTTCTCTTCGTCGATCCTTCTGACCAGAGGAACCTACAACGCTACTGCGTAGTCGGAAGTACCTAACTGCGTACCCCGTACCACCGCTTTCAACCCAAGGATCGTTGCATTTGACCTTGTATACTCCGTACCCTAAGATCGTCACGCTCTCCCCCACGATGATGGCTCGATGGGGCTGGTCAGCTAACGCCGGAAATGCACGTTGTACTTCCCCCCGAAGCGCTAAGAATGCCTGGGCCATCAGTCGCCCTACAAACGTACAACATGCTAGGTTTAGTAAAAATTAACGTCGACCAAGTACTGTCCCCTGTAGTTGGCCAGACGCTCGGGATTTTACGTATGTACGCTGCATATGTAGGATGACATGCATATGCACGTTTCTTGAAACGCAATTTAGTGCTGGTAAGATTTTCCACATGCAAGCTAGAGGCATGAAATACGGAGTATATCTGTGCTGTACCAAGTCGATCGATGGAATCCAGACAGGAGAGACACCAGCAGCCGATCAGAGCTTTCCCCTTCCATTTGTTGGTATTCATAGTAGTATCTCTATAGACTAGTTTAGCACGCTGGTGCTTCACTGGCAGTGCCTGGCCGTTCAAGCTGGGTCGACTGCGCGTTCAACCACACACGAGCAGCCATCCCAAAAGAAGCAATAGGATTTAGTACCTGGTATTTGTTGACAGAAGTAGAAATGTTCAGAAAGACGGTTTCCACAACCAACCAGCCTTGTCAAAACAAGCTTCGAACTCAACACCTCCAAATAAGCCAACCGCCCCGTATAGGTCGTAATCGCCCTCCAATCCTTCGACACTACCAGCATCCTCGTCGACTTCCTCATGAAGATCCCATCCGCCCACTTCCCGTCCATTACGTGTGAAGAATATTTTGACCTGCAAGGTTCGAAGTGCTGAAGCTGATCCCACGCCTTGCAAATCACCAGCATCAGAAAGTTCAAAGGTCATTCCCAAGCCCACGGTTTCTCCCACATTGAACGTTGTCGTGAATTCCCTGCCACCGAATGAATCATTTACAAAGCGACAGCCGTCATCGGAGAACACTCCAACACTGCCCCTTTCCCAACCTGGAGATCGCCACGTTGGGTATGGCTGTGCCAGGAAACCGATGGAGAATCCGCACGCGTCCGCAGCGGCGGCACGTGTCCTTTTATCCAGACCAAGGAGTTTGACCTCGAAGTAGATGGTCTTGGATCTCTTCGTCGCAAAAGGCGAGTCCTGGGCAGCGAAATAGAGAGGCAGGCTTGTTATGAGCACACAATCCTGGCAGTCTTCCCGACTTCTACCTTTCCATCTTCCGTTGCGGATCGTAGTCAAGGTCCCCTTAAACTCCGGTGGTTGTATGAGACTGAAATCGTATCTCTGTACATTGGAATAGACAACGTCTGAAGGCTGGACAGGCTTCCACAGAGGAGTATTGTCGCAGAAATGATGCGCACGCTCCGCATCATCACTCGACGCATTGCCTGTGGCCGAATACAGGAAACTCACTGCAGGCGGAGGAGGGAGTGTAGCTGTGTCTGGTACAGCTTCCTGCCAATTGTGATAAGGTGGAGGGGCCACCTCAGTGCTCTCATTGTTCGGAGATAAATTTCCTGTTTGATTGGATGGCTGGCCCTCCCTAGACAAGTTGGCTATATTCCCACCACTTTGAGGGGATGTCCCTAGGGCTTTGGCCATTGCTGACTCGTCAATTTGTGTAAGAAATATCGCCTGGTAATGGTGACTAAGTAGTTCTCTTTCTCTCTTTTTCCCCCTGCCGCAGGGTTTCCGCTCGCAGATGATAGCGTTGGAATCGATCCTCCTTTGAATGATTGTTTATGTCTTGACATCAAAGTCTGAGTACATAAGGTAATGTCAGCTTCAGTGATTGCACATAGTACTTAGGTAAGTGAAGGAGCTATGGCTTCCGGTACAATACAGTTTATGTCGCAAGCAGGAAATAGGACAAAGTTTTCTGTTACCTTTCCACTTGAGCTAGGCCTAATTTGTGCTCCCTGAAAGTCACAGTGATAAAATAACGATTACTGGACACAGCTACTTCGTAGGGTTGTAGCATTCCTATATATAGGAAGTATGGGGCTGTGCAAATCACTGCCTGCAGCATAGAGACTATTGTGATATGTATCATCATTTGCATGCTTACTCTTACAACACAATCACCCATTATCCCATATTATATTCATTCTTCGACTTCCCCCCCCCAACCCCTCCCCAAAAAAAAGCCAGAAAGAATCGAGCACTGTCATTCAAGACGGAAATTCAAATCTTGCCAATCTACCTAACCTCCAGCATTGAGAAGTCCATCACCTGCTGACCCATTTTGATTAATCCATTTAACCGTATTGGAAGTCCACTAGAGCTAGTCACCTAGTGACACGACGCATCAGAAGGTCCGCCATTGGCAGTACTCATATTCTCACATGAAGGGTAGAAGAAGGCCGCCACTGCAATGATAACATAGGCGGCAATCAACAAAGCACCCTCCAAATAGTTGCTGCGACCATCCAGCATAAGATAATTGACAATAAAGGCCGACGCAAATAGCGAGATAGTCTCGAAGAGACTGAAGTAGAGAGACATTTCGGTATTTAAGCACCATCCAAGCAGCACAATGACCGGTGTCACAAAGAGAGCAATTTGTATGCTGCTGCCCAGTGCGACGCCGATTGCAAGATCCATCTTGTTTTTGCTGGCAACTGTGACTGCAGTAACATGCTCAGCAGCATTGCCCACAATAGGCAAGATAATCAGGCCGATGAATGCTTGACTTATTCCAGTGCTGTCAACGAGGTAGTCAATGGAGTCGACAAGAAATTCCGCGCAAGCTGCGACCAAGCCAGTGGTTACTAAGAGTAAAATTATCGCAGAGGCACGAGGCAATCTTGGCTTATCTTCGTTTTCCTTTATCTCGACCCGCTTCTTAGAGACTAGGTGGGGTAACGGCTGAGCAGACGGTATCGACGTGGCGACAAGCGTCCCATTCAGACGATCTGGCAGAGAACTAGCGCGACGGAGATATGATCGCGGCGGCTTGACTTCGGAGACGGGACCCGGCATATCCAGCTGCGCAGGTTGCGCGGAGGGTGACAACATACTCGATGCCAATACATGGGAGAGTGCTGGCTTATAGGGCAAGTTACGAATATTGAACGAACGTCTCTGTACGTCACCGCGCGGTGGTGGAAAACGATCAGATGGGGAAACAGGGGCAATCCATGGAAAAGCTTCCTCATCGCTCTCATCTGTGTTCTCATGTGCTTTTCGGCCTTTGCGATGCTTGTGTCGACCATGTGGCATGCTTTTTGTCTTCTGGAAAGATTCACCGGTAGTCTTTTTCATTTGCATGGTTTCAAAGTCACGCGAGGTCACCTCGGACGAGGGGTTTGACACCTTTGCCGATTGCTTCTCAGGTATCGTATCTCCAGCCTGATTCGCCTCGAGTCCATTGGCTCCATGATCAGGAAGAGTTTCTGAAGTGTCGTTGACCGATGGTAAGTCTACGGCACGAGAACCAGACGATACTGTTCGAATGAAGGACGGGAGCGACGGAACCGAGTTGGTCTCCTTTGAGGCGAAGCTAGATTTGCGTCTTCTCTTCTTTCGGAGCGCGTTTCTGATACGTTTCACTGTGGTATTGGAACCCGAGGTGGCATCGCTGTCGTTGTCACTGGACGTGTCGGAGCTAGGTGAAGAATGCAGCATCTCTGCGAGGACCCCGGGATGGGACTCCTCGTCGATCATGTGTTGAGGTGTGCTCTCGTAGATATAAGCATGCGACTTCAGCTGGAAAAGCAGATAGAGGATGTAAACCAGAAGCAGAACCTGGAATAGTTAGACAGCTGCCAGCAAATGGTTAGAAAGGAGCTTGGTATCTTACAACGCTGGTACCGCGGCTGACCTTAACGACAGCGGCATCCGCAGCCTTGATGGCGCTGAAAGAGGCATGAAAAGCAGTCTAATGCTTTCAGCGATGGGGTTTAATAGCTGCCTTGTGAAAACTTACAGGCAAGAGAAGACTGATCACACTCAGACTAAGAAGGCAAGCACTCATCTGAGTAATGGCGGAATTGTAGAGCTATATATCTGCGTTAGTTTCTCGTGTACATGCTTAGGGGCGCGATAGGCTTACCTGTTCACGGAACCGAAGCCCGCCAAACAAAAAGCACATGCCCAGGATCAGCAGTAGATTGGCCAGGATGGATCCGAGAAGTGACGCCTGAACGATGGCAACTTGGTCCTACAAATAGGACATCAGCAAGAGTAACAGTCTAAAATTGAGGGGTCTAAGAAAACACTTACCGCTACTAATGCGATGCTATTGCAGGAATGAGACAGTCAGTACATACGAATAGCAGGGTAGCTGAAACAAATGCCCAGGTTGAGGGAAATATGACAGAACCGTACATGCTAAAAGGAAAATTAGCCAATTCCACTCGCAAAGATTGAAAAAAACCTGGGGGAGGGGGAGGGGGGTGATTAGTTATACAAGATAATAAGCTCCACTGCATTGCCAAACGTCACATTCAGGAGAGCACCAATTGTATCACCCATATTTGAGGCAACACATTCTGTAGCGTAGCCAAGCATCGAGGCGAGGGGAATAATTGCAATGGCATTGATCGCGAATACCACAGTCGGGCTTACCGGGCTTTCATCGCCCATGCTCCGATGCAAGGCACCCAGGGCGATTCCGGCAGGGACAAAAAAGAGAAGCCAATTTACCCAGCTCGAAACCACAACCATCTTGGCATATATATATAACCGGAAGAAAACGTTCGGACTGCCCTCCGATCCTACGGAGGGAGCCTTCGTTCGATCATGCGCACCCACGGGAATGGATCCTGTAGGAGACAACGATATCGAGCCATGTTCGACCTGATCACTAGACGACTGCTGAGTAATTGACGTTTGATGAGCGCCTGTAGGTGAAGACGCAGTCTGAGGATGGAGGCCATCGTTGGGAGCTGCTGGGCGAGTGTCTGACGGGCTCGTGACGAGATGACTACTACGATCACAGTGGCGATCGCTGTGACGAGGGGTTCCAAACGATCGGAGGTTCAAGGCATATGCATTGGTACGGTCCCAGATGCCGGTGCGATCTATAGGCGGTGGATCGTCAGAGGATTCGTTCATCGAGCAGTGGTCGTGATAGATCGCAATAGACCGGGTAATGGGCCAGAATCAGGCTAGAACGAAAGAAGGCCCGTACAAGATGCAAAGCAAGTTTTGAGTCAATGAAGACAAGAGGCGAAGCTGAATAATAGGAGATAAAGGGCAGAGAGGTCTAAAAATGATAAGGGCTGCAGGATACAGTGGCGGAGCTTATGTAGTCCGGGAGAAGCAGAGGTGCTCCGTACTCCGTACGGAGTACACCCTCTGGATTACTCCGCACAACCCCCTAATGTGTTTTGGGTAAAGCCCGGAAGACGTCACACATGGAGCAATTATTGGGGCGTTCCCAGGTCCCAGATTATCTGTTAGCTTATCGCTGATTATCAGAGTTCCTCCGGGGATTCGCATGCTTATCGCAGAATGAATCCTGATAGCTACGATCAAGGACAGCAAAAGGTCCGACTACAGAGGACTTTCGAGAAGCCTTGGCCACTGAGAGAAACTGGGGCGCCAGCCCAATTATCACGATGATTCTTGCTGCTGCTGGCATGACTGAAGTAGTGAGCCTGGAATGCCTAGTGGTCAACCCCACAGACCTCTCTGGGCCACGGAGTCGAGGACCTGTGTCGCCTTGCCAGGGCTCCTACTATAATTGGACGCTCGCCGTCACGCCAAGCCTGGCGTCATTGTCATACACGCAACACCCACTGTCCGCTCCCCCTTGCTTGGCGAGTTCACGACGCCTTCGCCTGAATTCCACTCCCTCCCCAGTGTTAACGATGCGTGAGGGGCTACAAAATGCCCTGGTACTTCAATCTCTCGGGACATTGAACTGCACCCCGAATTTATGTACAGTACAGTAAGATAGCTCGACTATGTCGAGAAACCTCATCTGCACACAACAAGGACTATCGCCAATACCAGGTCCTGCATGTGTCCAAAAATAGCTGAGTCCTGTCCTATCCTAGTTCAGTGAACCACGTGTGGCCAAGTTGTACAGACTACGGAATGATACTCCGTACATAATATTAATCTCTCGCTTCTCCGACCCGCCAAACTTGCCGGATCTCACATGCAGGTGGCCCGTTCACTTATCTTTAGCGACATTCACCTATTAGCGAGACGAGCAACTAGATCTTCACTTCAAGCATTGCACCCCTTGTATGTACTTGCGGAGGCACTCCGTATCGACGTTTCTGATTGGGGGGGGTTAACCTTGTCAGATCCTACTACTGTGTTAATACCTACCTATTTGCAAGAGGTTCAGAACAGGTTCATGCACCAAAAGAGTTCTCCCATTTCAAGAAATTTCACCACTCGCAGCGTGTTTTGGTTTTCATATACTGGTTTGGCCTCTTATCAAGCTGGGACTTGGACCTCTTCAGATTTGAGGTGATCAGCATTTCGATGTCGTCGAGCATCTCAGCCTCTGTTTGAGAAGCCTATCATGTCCGCAAAAACAGATCCCACACGTCGTCCCAGAAGACTGTCATTTACACGACAATCACGGAAGCAAGACTTGAATTTTGAGTCTCTCTCATCTGGCCCGAATGCTATTACCGCTAAGGATACTAACAGCCAATCACACACACAACCCTATGGCTCTCGCGAGGAACATGATAAGAAACTGCCCTATCAGCAGTCAGCACCTGGCTCCAATTCCCGAGAGCAGTCTGAGATCTGTCTGTCGCCGACCTGGAACAGGGAAAAGAAACAGAAAAGATGGACAAGGGAAGTGTACTATATGGGACAGAATCAAAGCAAGATTGACGAGACCTCGAGAGAGCAAGAGCTGGCAGAATCCGGTGGAACTTCTTCTACAGTTAGCCAGGGTCCTCGCCGTTTGACGAAGAAGCAGCCGCTGGCGAGTTCTCGCCGGGCTTCGATTTCAGGTTCAGATGTGTCAAGATTATCGAATATACCTGCGTTTCTGAACTTTTCGGGGCGTATGCGCCATTCACGAGCGAGTTCGACTCACGACACAACTGAGAAAAGACCAAGAACATCATCAGAAGTAGCATCGCCTGCCCAACTTGGGGATAAGCTAAACTCTCTACGAATACCCCGATTATCCAGTGCGTTGCCGGAACGCTTTGGAGCGTCAATATCGAGGGACTTGGCGTCTTGTCAGGGCCCGGACCTCTCAACCAACGCATCATTAACCCAAGATTCGCATAAAAGCCGAGAATCTTCAAATTCCGCAAGCATGACAGCATTCACAGGAGAACTAAAGAGACCTACTCTTCGGAGAGCTGGACTACCATTCTATCAAGAGCCAACCAATACGTTAAGCCGCAGTCGGCCGACCGCTACATCTAGGGCAGTGACGGGCGAATCTAGGAAAGGTACCCAGAACCTCCCAGACATTGAATCTTCAAAGCTCTCTGTGCAACGGAATTCGACCAAGTTGGAACTCGAGGGTCCAAAGATCAGAGCAGACACGCTGGAAAGTAATCGTTTCTTGAAGCCATTGATTAGTACTCGCTCTGATCCTCCGAGACCATCACAGAGAAGAACATATCAAGCTGGAACTATTCATGATTCAAGAGAAGTCTCCAAAGGTCCTTTCATGGGGCATGATGCAAACATTATCCAGCAACGCATGCCTGTTATGACGTCAGAAACAAGGACTGTTGATCTAGCTCTTGATCAGTTAAGAAAACAACATGAAAATCGGTCTTCAGTCTCATCGGTCAAGTCATGTCATACGGCTCATTCAGAACATTATAGCACAGCAGCAGAAAATTGGTCTTCCTGTGATTCCTTAGCGCCCAAAACATCACAGTTTCCAATCACAGAACCCCTAGGATCAACCTCCAGTGTATCTGATTATGTGCATCTTCCCTCTGGTGACAAAGAACTCCAGGCAAAAAATGAAAGGGCGCCCTTTGGGCCCCAAGATGAGGCACCTGCCTTAAACGGCATTCACAGCGCAGCTGCCAATGACATCAACACCAAGAAAGAAGGCTCTCAGCAATCAAAGCCTCTTGCCAAGATATTTGTCATCTGCTGTAGCTGCAAGTTCTGGCATGACATCCCTTCAGAGCTATATCCGAGACTGGCTGTCCCAGAGAAGTTCTCACCTAATCGACTGGAACGATCTATTCCAGTACCTGGTCAAGATATGACTGGCAGCAAGCGCCAGAATAGCGGACACAGACCGCATTCAAGAAGCAGAACAATAGCACGTTCACCAAATATTTCACATGAAACAAATTTTATGACTGACCCCACCACTACATCTACCCCTTCTGCTGCAGTGAAGTGCTGTTGGTGCAACCACAACATGACCAGGTCCTGCTGTACAGGCTGGACCACCATTGTCTACCTAGTCGAGAGGCATCATTGACCTGGTATGACCGTACTTTTGCAACATGTCAGCAGGTTAGTGAGTGAGCTAGGTTGCCTCTGAATTCTTGATTTTCTTCTGAAAGGGAACAACATCATGTCCATACTGGTAGTGGTGGTTTCTGTGCAATGTCTTCGTTTTTCTCCCCCTTTACTCTTTCTTAATCTTTTGCTCCTTCGTGCCGTTGATTTCTCTCAAGTCCAAGTATGACGGTCTCTAGTTCCGTTCAATACGGCAAAGTCGCACCGTGCACACTTTTCTTTTCACCATTGGATGAAATCGGGAAGGCAGAGTGTGAAGTCAAACTCTAGTAGCTAATTGTCTCCTTAATGGGGTTGTGTTTTCACCGCATCCTCGAAAAGACAATTTCTACTTTTATTCTTCTATTACTAGACCATGTTGATCCCTGGGGTTCGCGCAATCCTGCTCACTGTAAATAAGCAAACTGTGTAGTATCCAAGCCAAGATGAACCTCAGTATTGAACGTTGACATGGACTGGGGCTTACAAGGTAATTTCTTCTAACTCTTGCTATTTCCTGTCGGTGTTTAATTCTGCCACCAGCAATCCTATATAGTCCTTCAATTACATCAGCCGTGCCCTAGAGAAATAGCTAATTTGATGTCTGTCCCATTGTTTATACAGCCTAAATACTAATTTACTATTAGCATAAAAGTACGACGTAAAAATAGCCATGCCCAATTTCATATTTCCACATATTACCGGTAGGCTTCAGTCCGGAGCCTCAAGGGGGCGAGACGGGTGCAAAAAGTCTAATCCTTTCAACGGTTCGGAGTAAATTGCTAATCATAGTGACTCAACCAGACAGAGTGCGTGTCACAAAAAATTGAACGCAGATGCCGCATTAATGTAAACTCTTGTGCTTCAGAAAATGGGACGTATTGCGAATTGTAGCGAGTCCTCGACGTCACGTCTGCGGAAACCGGGTGCCCGCCCAAGACATACAGCTCTGCTTACAAGTCCTATGTAACCAGCTCTGCTCTTAGTATTTTGTTCGTGGCAATTACCGGGACTTTTAAGGAAACTTACGATCAATAAATAATCCAACATCAAATGTCCACTGGGAGTTCCCCGAGATCTGCGCTTGATGAAGAGGGCTTCCATGGGAACTGGGAGTAGTCGACAAAGTTTGCTGTATATCCACTGTTTCTAGTCTATCTGAAGAGGAGGAAATCCCAAAAGAAAGCGGTATAGCTGATTGAATTCCACTGGTCTTAGGACGGTCCGCAAGAATCCTCGTATGCGAGTCGCCAAACGTATCGGGAAGCTCGTTAGGGGAAGGCACTCCATTCGATCCAGTAACCCTTTGGACACCACTGGTCACATCCTGGTGATGAGACTGCTGCTCTCCTGACGACGAAGACGATAAACGAACTTGGGGCAGCTCAACAAAGGACGTGTGTCCATCAAGGAAGATGCCTTTCTCCTGGAGAAATCCCTCGACGTCGTGCGAGTCGAACCACTCGCCGTCAAACCCAATAGCCACAAGAAGGCTCTCTACGCTTTTGTTTTCATGTGGTATTTCGGACAGATGAAACGGCCAAGGACCAATGGCTTCTGTGATGGGACGCAAGTTGGGAGGATACACTGGATTCCCCTGTTGATCTCTGCGCGGATAGTGTGTGCCAGCTCCCCCGAGATGGAAAAATGGCAGGTTCCAAGTCTCCAAGGCCTCATTCACGCCGCGACTGAGTAGCTTCTGAAAACGGGAAATAATTCGTTTCCTGTTCGAGATGCCAAATGAAAATCTAAACGTCCTCAACACCTCTTCGGGATTAACCGAGGGATCCGTAAGCAGTCGGTAGCCGCGTTCCAAGCAGGAACGATGTAGTCGTCGCGCGAAAGTTGATTCTTCGAAACTGTACGTATATGGAGTCATTGGATTCAAGGGAATTTCGATAGGGGTTAGACGGGGAAATTCTCCGGCCAATATGCTAGGAAAAAGCACACTCGTTGAGTGTCCATTGTTAACCGCAATGGTGTGTATATCCGAGACGTTATCGAAGTTTGGGTGCGGTCGAGGGCCATCATTCGGGACAAAAGACATACTATGTTTGTGCAATGTATTGGAGTCATCCACCTCCCATCTGTTATTGTCTAAGGTCGGCTGAAATGACGGATCTCGCGTCTCTCCAATACGATCGTTATCCTGAGCTTTCTGTGTTGAGAGAGCACGTTCCATCGGTTGAAACTTTCCCGGGGAGTCATTTCCAGGATCTCTGTCCTTCTTTGCAAGCCTAGCAAGAGAAAGAAACTTTTCAGTGATGTTTCGCAAACTGTGCACTAAGGCAGGTTGCAAAGGCAGCAGTCCCGAGGCCATAATTTCATCATGAAAAGACAAAAAAGACTTGCTCATCTCTTCAATAGTAGCTTCTAATTCAGCAACGCGATCATTCAGCAAGGATATTGTTGCTTCCTTTCTCAGCCGATAGGCTCGCTGAGCAAGGCGTATTTGTGTTCTACGTCGCTAGAACGCATTAGAATGCTACCTGTGAAAACAACAGACGATACGGTACATACCTCGGTAGCGGTCTCATCCTTGGCGAGTATCCGAGGCCGCCCTCTCTTTCTTGAAGAATTACCATCAGTAAGGACAGCGTTCTTGTTTGACCGCTTTTTGGCAGAGAACGACTGAGGCGGCCGTTTCAATTGGTCCGTGACTAGATCATCATCTCGATCTGCATTCTCCTCGTTATACACCGTCAGTCCTCCATACAGAATTCGTGGACTGTCACTGCTGCTGATTTCAGCCGTTTCCGAATTAGGTTGTTCTGGAATCTGGTACAATGAGGATGAAATTATTTCAGTAGAAAAGGCTTGAGAGCCTGAGTCAGAATTGGGGGGCCTGTAAGGCTTGGTAAACGGCAAAGTGTTGTACTCCTGGTCAAATTCTGAATGAAGCTGTTCGGATGGAGATTCAGGCTCTTTCATAAGTAGGCTGTTCATAGAATGGTTTGGCATTGTGTTCAAGACCAATTTGTGTCCGACGTAAAGAGCAGAACCTGGAAGGAGAAAAACGGAAATTCAGATTGGCAACCAGGGAGAGTTGGTCAGCTACAGGTCAAGGCCAATCGAATTAATGAAGACGCAATAAAAGGTACATGGACTACAACCATCTGGGTTCATCCATGACGTCTCATATCCAAGTATGAAGAAGGACGGTAAGGGCAGTTCAAATAATCAAAATGACGCTGGAGGATGAATGGAGGGGATAGTAAATTAGTAATAATACAAGCCTTGGAATAAAGCGGCGTTAACCATCGCCTGGCGGACATGACCTATGGGCGGGCTAGATGCTAATTGTCTCCACATGATGACCAAGAACTCACAGACAGCAATGCCATTATTATCATATCTGCTGTCTTTGCTTTTGTGCATCTGCACTTCTATAACAAAGATTATGTCGACTAAATTAAGAGAAATGGCTGTAATTCACAGTCATTTCATGATTGACCTTCTATGAGTATTTATCCAAAGCCAAGGCCTGCTAAGTAGCTACTCTGTATATGCTCCGTATAATGGATGTTGCATGCGTTTTGGTGCACAAGAGCTTCGGCGGTCCATGGATTGGTCATCAGCTTACGTAGTGTAATCGCCGCTTTAAATAGTTAACTAACTATGGTGTCTGGTTCTGACATAAGCAACGCTGGCGCCCTCGGTCACCTGCAGGGCTGTCAACAGTCACAAGAATTAATTTTAATGACTCCATATAAGGAGTATATTCTTGCCACTTGGAGTAGCCCCTTCTAATTCCTGCTCTAAATTTAACAGCTACCCTGGAGTAGTTGTCTGTCACTTAAGCGAAGACAGAGAAGTTATGTAGAAATTGAGGTATCTAGATAGCGCACTTGAAGACCTCGAAACCCTGGGGTGATGAGACCGTAATGATCCGTGATTATTTAGTCTGGCAGCGACAAACGAGATAACGATGTACCGAAGCAAAGGTAACATGTAATCCAGCGACAGGCTGTCGGGTAGCAAAAAAGAGAGAAATCCTTCTTTCAGGTTAGGATCGACAGCGCCGTGCTTCCGGTTGTCTTCAAAAACACGATCCCTCGACCCTGGGGAGCATATAATCCATGGGTAATGTTACTAACGCACTTTCCCCTACCTCTGTACTCCGTACTCCGTGGATAGGTGCTGATCGCCGCTGGGATTCCAAAGCAAACACGTTTAAGTATTCTTGCGGCAGGACCTAGACGGCTGAGTCAACCAACTAGTAGGTGCTACTAAAGAGTACGGATAGGTCCACTAATTACGGAGTGCTCCGTACTCCTACCCCGTACTGTATAGTAACTTTAGGCTCCCCAGGAAGAACTACTGTGGTTCCAAAGCTGATGCACGAGTTTACGACCCAACGCATGCATTATGAGAAAAACTAGCAAGGCATGAAATCGCGGCCTCACCATGAACCGCTATGGCTCGCCAAAGAAAGCTCTCCAACTCTTCCTCTACTTCGTCCCTCCCGGAACGGAACCAGGTAGGTCACACGCCTGGCCGACGTACCAACGCAACCGAGAATCGAAATCGCTAGCTCCCTCACTAACAGTTGCGAGCATTTAGGAACTTGAAAGCATGTATGATTACCTCGCCAAAGTAATTCTCGTCGGTCCGAGTGGCACTGGGAAGTATGTTAACGTTTGTTCCCCACGTATCTTCTGATTGCGGCCTGATTCCATGCTGATATCAGATCCCCGGGTATACAGATCATGTCTACTTCATCGATTTGTGAAGAATGAATGTACTGTCATCCATCTTATCAGACTTGGTGGCAGGGTATTTCTGTTGCCTTTTTTTGAAAAAATGGAGACTGACGAAATCGCGGCTTTCAGGGAGGGTGCTATCGTCCCAGACGATTGGTGTCGAGTTTTCGTCGAAGATCGTGAAAGTAGGTACAGGATCACGGCGGAAACGGATAAAGTTACAACTATGGGATACCGCTGGTACCGAACGGTTTCGATCGGTGTCTAGATCTTATTATCGTGGAGCTGCTGGAGCTATCCTCATATACGATATTTCATCTTATACTTCTTTTACCGCTCTTCCCACATTCCTCATGGACGCTCGTGCTCTGGCATCTCCTAATCTCACAGTTATCTTGGCGGGGAATAAGACTGACCTTATTGATGATCCTGTCATGGATGGAAGTTCCTTCGACGATATCCAAAGACCCCCGGCCACCCCTTTGAGCTCCTCTAGCAAGCAGTCGTCCTTCCCATTTGATTCAGGTGGTGGCTCGGTTCGTTCTGTCACTGGGCCTAGTGTTGGGACCAGAATGACAGCGACGGTTGCACCCCAAGGCCGGGAAGTTAGTGCCAAGGAAGCATTGGATTGGGCCACGAAGTCGAATATTCCTGTTGCTGTCGAGGTTTCGGCCCTATCTGGGCAGAATGTTGAGGAACTATTCAACCGGCTGGCTCGAATCATCCTCACGAAAATTGAGCTTGGCGAAATAGACCCAGATGATCCACAAAGCGGAATACAGTACGGCGATGGAGGGGCGTGGGCTTTTGGTACTAGCGACGGCGGCAGTGTCCGAAGCGGTATGACAATCGATGACAATAATGTCCAGCTACACAGAAGGAGAAATAAAAAGGGACACGGAACCAATCCTTGGACGAATGCTGTGGGAGAATGGGAAGACGACGTGTTTCGGGTGAGCGGCTCAAATCATAGGCAAGGTCGAGGATGTTGCTGAGCACTATTTCTACATCAAGCTGTACTCTTTGATCTGAGAAGAGAAGCCGTGACATATCACGATGGAAGCACCCTGCTTTGGCTTTCTTGTTCTCAAGCACTCCACCAATTTTGGTGTGATAGTGGGCTAAGCATTAGGGTCAATGTTTCCAAAGACAATCTGTCTCTGTTCAATTTTTTTTATTTGTTTATTATGGTTTTGTCCTTTTTTTCTGTTGATTGCAGACCATAGCATGATACCACAGTTTAGTTCTCAGATATCTAATGATCTAATGATCCATGTCTTCTTTGTTATTATTATTATTTCATTTCCCCTTCTCCGGAGTTCACTGATTGTTTTGTTGTTGACGTTGTTATTTTTCCAAAGATTCTGCGATATGAATATTTTATTATTTCTATGGTATTGCATCTTTTATTACTGGATGCATTTGCTTGCTATTTATTTGAAGTTAACAAGTTGACTTCCAACATGACTGCCTGCTAAGAACTTCCACGGCTGCTAGAAGAAAACATGCAGAGTTTTTTTTCTTTGATGAGCATCCATTTCCTGTCTTGTGCACGCTCCATGGGGCTAGACTCAAATGCCTGCAATGATTGTTTTGATCCCCTTACCGGCCTTGACATCCTTGATCGCCCTCTCAGCATCTTCAAAATTGACCTGGCCGGTAATCAAGTCTTTAACGTTAACTCTACCACTTGCCGCCAGCTCAATAGCAAGTTTGTAGTCACCACTGCCATATCGAAAGCTCCCTTTGACGTTCAATTCCTTGGTACAGGCCGCCATGATTGGGAAAGTGATCTCAGCTTTGCCCATGCCTCCCTGTACATATGTACCGCCATTTCTCAGGACATGGATACCTGTGTGGACAGAAGCTTCTGCGCCGGAGGCATCAATGACAACATCTGCACCAGGGCCAAGGTCATTTTCCTCCTTCAAGCGTGCCGCATTCTCCACCGCAGGTACCTTCTGGGGCAGGAATGTTGAACTTGCAACATATTTCTTGGCGAACTCCAACCTGCCCTGTTGAATATCTACCGCGATAATCTTACTAGCTCCAAATGCTTTTGCGACAGCACAGCACAATAGGCCAACTGGGCCGGCCCCAAAAACAACCACAGAATAGCCTGGCCGGACCTCTCCCTGTTTGACGATGTGTACAGCAACACTAAGTGGCTCCACAAGTGCGCCCTCCTGTAGAGTCATCTGTTCAGGGAGCTTGTAACAAAAATCCTCCGGCAATCGGTAGTACTTTGCCAGTGTTCCATCGTAGGGAGGGGTAGCTGCAAATGCCATACGGATACAGAGGTTGTATTTCCCGGATTTGCAGGGTTCGCACCTGCGACAGGGGATTCCCGGTTCAAGGGACACTCGGTCTCCGACCTTCAGGGTAGTAACTGCCGGTCCAACTTGGCTGACAACACCAGAGGATTCATGGCCTAAGACCATCGGGTCTCGAACGACGAAGTCGCCGATGGCGCCATGTTCCCAGTAATGAACCTGTTGATAGATACCGCATAACGTATAAGCATTTGTCATCATATCACGACCCGTCTCATGAATAGAGAAGTGATGGAAAAAACCTACATCGCTGCCGCAGACGCCTGTGTACTTTACATTGACAATAACATCGTGGGGATCCACAATTTGAGGAATCGGACGATCCTCGAATTTGACTTTTTGGATGCCTTCCAGTACAAATGAAAGGTTCTGGGGTTCCATCAGTCCCAACATCTATATTTAAATCGAAATACATAGGGCCAACCCACCTGCGGTGTTTCAGCTGACGCTGTCATGGCTTGTGATACGGAAATAACGACAACCTATTCTTCACCTGAAACGAAAGTCCAATGTGCAATATGATGTTCTTTCTCTGAAAGAGAAAGTATAACTACGTTTTTCATGGAAGCTTTTATAAGTCTTCACTCTGGGGTGGTCAGCTGCTTTCCATTCCATAGTGTCTAGAACCTCGGCGGGGAAGGTCTCGGGAAACCTTCCTAGATCCTTGGTTCTGGCGGGAAATACGTATTATCCGCGAGCGATTTAGCCGTTGTACTGTTTGATTTTAGCCGGCAAAGTTCCACTTATCGGCTCGGTGCTCTTTTTACACTTCCCGTTTAGACATCCTTTGGTGCTGAAATGAGAAAAGAGCACACAGAGCAGTTAAGGCTTCTTCACCATGGCCTACTAAAGTACATGTTAATGTTTGACACCACTTGTCCCGCGCAGTACCTAGGTAGGAGCTTGAGGTCTACGACGAACCTACCTACCTACCTGAGGTAAGGTATTATATACTAGCCGCCAAGACGCCCGATCGGCCTATGGGCCACTTTCTACTCCGTACTAGTACTCGGTACTTCCTAGCTAGCTCCCGCATTATCAACTATGCATATTTTATCTTTGTTTGACAATTATTATTTCCAGGCGCCCAGTAGTCATCGCAAGCGGAATGATTGCTCGAGTCTACTGAAAGCACATTTTGTATGAAGGAACTGCATGATGATGAGACCTTCCCTTTCACCGAAGGCGGCTTTGAGAGCTGTCAGCCTCCGACCGCCTTTGTCCAACCATGTCCTAGGTCAACCATATCCAAGCCGACTTCGTCGGCACTTTGGACTTTCAATGCATCTCAGAGAAGAAAAGAGACAATCTTTTAAGGGTCAATTGTATGAAAGTACTCAGCAGCGGATAAAACGTGAGCGGGCAGAACAAGAACGATTTTCACAATATCAAACACAGTCATCTGGCGCTCGCTATGCGGCCTTGATGTTTGGTGCGCTCTTCCCTAGTCCACTTTTTTTTTTGCGAAGTATATATGTAATAACGCAATGTAGTTCTGATCTTCTTCACTTCTGGCGGGTATTACCTCGGGTCTCTTAAGCCGACAGCTCTTCCGACCTCGTCGACAACAGCACTTTCAGATTTGGAGCCTGTCCGACACAACACGTCACAATCAAATCTCCAGGCTGCCTGGGCCGACTTTGTCGAAATCCTGGGCAAGCAGAATGTTTCTACAGAGGATGGTGACCTAGTTGCTCATTCAGGGTCTGAGTGGTCGTCGTATTCACGAAAGGATAACGAGAAGCCATTCCTTGTATTATACCCGTCAACCACGGATGAGGTCTCTCGGATTATGAAGGTCTGCCATCAGAGATCGATACCTGTGACGGCTTATTCTGGCGGAACAAGCTTAGAGGGTCATTACACTCCAACAAGAGGTGGAGTATGCATCGATTTCCGACGCATGAATCGGATCTTGGAGCTACACAAGGAAGATCTGGACGTCACAGTGCAACCTGCGGTTGGATGGGAAGAATTGAATGAGGAACTTTCCAAAGATGGACTTTTTTTCCCTCCAGATCCGGGTCCTGGTGCTATGATTGGCGGCATGGTGGGGACAGGCTGTTCAGGCACCAATGCTTACAGATATGGGACAATGAGAGAATGGGTTATTTCGTTGACAGTGGTTCTTGCTGATGGAACTGTCATCAAAACAAGACAACGGCCAAAGAAATCAAGTGCCGGCTATGACCTGACTAGATTGTTTATTGGAAGCGAGGGAACTCTCGGGTTGGTGACGGAAGCAACCTTGAAATTAGCGGTCAAGCCGAAATGTCAAAATGTCGCTGTGGCTAGCTTTCCGACCATTCATCATGCTGCCGATTGCGCAAGGCGAGTGGTTGAAGAAGGTATTCCCGTCGCAGGCCTTGAAATACTGGATGATGTGCAGATGAAATGCATCAATGCAAGCAAAACAACGAGTCGTGAGTGGGCAGAGGCACCCACTCTCTTCTTCAAGTTTGCAGGAACCCCTGTCGGTGTAAAGGAACAGATTGGTATTGTGCAGAAAATTGCCAAGAGTAGTGGAGGGAAAACTTTCGAATTCGCTCGTGGGGATGCAGAGATGCAAGAACTCTGGAGCGCGCGCAAGGAGGCTCTTTGGAGTGTGATGGCCATGAAAAGAGACTCCAAAGACCATGTTTGGACAACTGATGTTGCTGTGCCAATAAGCAAACTGCCAGAGATCGTGGAGGCAACTAAACAGGATTTGACCCGGAGTGGGTTGCTTGCAGGCATCTGTGGTCATGTTGGTGATGGAAATTTCCATGGTACAGTTTTCTAACTGAATCTCCCTATTGAGCATGATTGACTAACTGGTTTAGCAATCATACTATTCAATGACCAAGAGAAACAATTAGCGCAGGAAGTCATTCACCGGATGGTAAAGAAGGCCGTCGAAATGGAAGGTACTGTCACGGGAGAACATGGCGTTGGTCTCGTCAAAAGAGATTATCTTCCTCATGAGGTGGGAGAGTCCACAGTTGATGCCATGCGTCGGGTAAGTTTGGATAGTATCCTTATAGACTACCTTAAAATGGGCACGATGTGTAATAGACCTTATATATGTGATTTTTCATTCTCTCGATGATTCTTGCTGACTCGATTATCTCTGAAAAAGTTGAAATTGGCATTTGATCCTCTCTGCTTGCTGAATTGCGACAAGGTTGTCCGAGTTGACCCGCCTAGCATAGGGGAAATCAAAGAATGGTAGGGGGCAATGTCAACTTAAGGGTCTCATTCTCTATACTTTATGCCACGGACAATGAGAACTGGGTCGTCTAGCCCCTAGACATTACTGTGAGTATCGGTACCTATTTCAGGATTCCCTTGGCTTTTATCTGTCCTTGTCAAGGCACTTCTCAGTCAGGTTAGATTTGATCCCCTAGATACAGAATCGGTACTGAATTGAAATATATTCCTCGTGTTCAGCAAGATACATGTTGGATTCATAAGGCATCTATGCAGTAAGGCTCATTCTGCTTAAAAAAAAACAGAAACTTGAAACAGATGATTGTGCATTTCACGAATCCTAAAAACTGGTTTCTTTTTTTTTTAACAAATTGAATTCCCATGACATATCTCTCTTCTCGAGAGCGATATTTAAAATCCACTTGAATTTAAAAATTTGATCACAGCTTAGATTAGACATCAGATTTGTTTTTTCAATGTCTCTTAAGCTCTTAAGATAATTGCACATTGATACGCCCTGGAGCCTTTCGTCCGTATCAATCTCACTTAGAAATCCTTTGGGTTCTAATTAATGTGTATTCTACATGTTTTTAACTAGAATATTGTATTTCATTCTAAGACTATGCCGTTCAATTTGCCTGTGCAAATGGGAATCTTCTAGCAGTGATTAGCAGTTGATCATTGAAATGTCGAGCTGCAACTGTGGGTACAATACTATCTAACGTTCAGACTGCGGTAAGAGCCTATGATTTGAACTGTAATAAGCGTAGGAATTTATTGGTTAGGGTGCCTTTTGGAGCCCATTACTATCACAGGATGGTGACATACTCCCCCCGAAAAAAAAAGAACACCACATGTCACGTTCGAGCATTTCTTTTTTTGGACGACTCCAGCATTATGGTCCACATAATCTTCTCCTCAATTTGAAAACCCGCGTCCTGAGCCAGGTAAGGAATAACATCCAATTTCTTTTAGAACTCGAAAGATTCGGACGATGTGACTGTGCTGTGCTAGGACGATTTGGTTGAGGTCGCTCCTTTGATATTTGCCTGTTCCTAGCGGAACAATCGCCTGGAGAGGACCCAGCACCGAAAGCATCAGACGAATCCACTATACCACAACTATTCCCTCGCTCCAGCACCGGTTGGATCAAATAATTATCACCAGCCAGGCCATTCTCTTGACCTTTCCCCTTCTTACTACGTCGCAGCTCTCGGTTTTGGGCCTTCATCCGCTGCATTTCGAATTTGAGTGCCTTTGCGGCTTCTTTCTCTTCAAATGCCTGTCGAGCGGCCTGAACGGTGGCCGCATGAGATAATGGATCAACGGAAGTGCAGGTTTTCGATCGATCTAAAGTTCTCGAAGGTAGGAGGAGGGTCGCCTGCGTTTTTAACCTAGGCTTCGCGTGGCTAGGGGAGCAGTTTGTCCTCTTCCTGAGCTTCTGTTCTGGATATCGCGAAGCCGTGGCAGAATTATCCGTGCTGAATTGAAATTCCATATCAAGACTCGGGCGAGCAGGCGACTCCATATCAGAAAGCTGTCGGTTCTTGTTTGAGAAACTGCCGACTTCAGCTGAGCTGTCATCGGACTGGCTCAGCCGAAGCGTAGGTGGACGTGGTGTTTGACGCCTCGGATGAACATATTGTGATCCGGGTCTATTTGTACTTGAATGTACTGTGGCCGAGTACGAAGAGGACTCGCTGATGGACCGATAATGGCCTGAAACATTGGCACGGTTGCCAATGTATCTTGTGTCGCGCTCAAGATTAGTATAAATCCCGAGGCCTTCATGCTCCATAGAGGAACGCGAAAGATCTATTGACGTCGAGGACGGGTCATCGCGCGACCTCCCTTTGAGTAAAGGCTTAATGTTGACCTTGGCTTTATGTAGCCGAATCTTTTGCAGTGGGCGGAAGAATGTATCGGGTGACGCTGTCTCCGACGCTGACGATATACTCTCGTAATACGAGCCATGTACGGACGAATAACCAGCCAGCGAGAGATCTGGAGATGGGACATCAGAAGCCATGAAATCCTTCACCATGCCTTCCGATGCAGAAGCCGCACTGGTGGGCATATCCGGGAGGAGAGAGAATCTGTATTCTTATAAGAATAGAACCCTTAGGAAGGTATGACAATAACTGTCAGAATCGATGTTTTTAGGTCCATGATCATATATAGTTTCAATATCCCGAGCGTGGTCAGCCGAGTGTTGTTGAGGAAGATAAGGGATTGATTTCCTTGTCAGGCGGAGGCTCGTCTTTCATTTTGGCGTCAGACAGAACGCGCCATACGGCACTAAGAGGCATACCTATGTGCACGTGTTGATATGAGCGATGAAAGGAAATCCTACTGAACACCACAACAAAAATTAATATTTCTTGTTTTATCTATTGACTACTCTACTCATGTAACCTTATATGGAACAATTTGTCTTCCAATAGGCCGACATCCATTTGCATCTTCATGTAAGATGCATGCATAGCGCCATACTGTGTGGAGACTTATCACGTGATCAATTCCTGGCCGAGATCCACTCCGAAAAATGCGCAGGTGCACTGTCTGCCCTTCCTGACACATCGACCTCTTTTTTTGCCTCTCCACTACTACGGATCAACGAACTGCGCTTTTGGTCACTATCTTCCTAAGCGTTTCAAACTCAAAGCCGAATATACTAGGCTACGGCACACGAGATAGCCACAGCTGCCAGACAACATACGGCAGGCAACGCGCCGAGCTAGAGCGTTAGATATTCGCAGCTTAGTGATTTGGATATTATTAGTTGCTGGAGCTGTTCAATTTGAATAACAAGCCTCCTTTCTGGGCAGGGGTTCCCTGCAGTCTTGCCCAACATGGTGTACGATTGGGAAGGGAAGCGGGAAATCTGCTATCAGATGTACATCAAGGACAGGAAAGCTCTTGAGGAGATTATGGAATATATGAAGAATACCCATCAATTCGCACCAAGGTATGTTTTGGGACATCTTTCACCCAAGCTCGGCAGTCAGTAGAGGATCCTCCTTCTGCTGTTGCTGCTTATCTTTAATTCATATATTCTTGCACAGCACACTCATGCTTTCCTTATCTGGCAGCAAACGTGCTTTTCAGACCCAATTCAAACGATGGGGCTTCCCCTCAAAGCAAAATCCAGCCCACAAAAATCCCGCGCTTGTTGCACGTATCAAAGAACTGTGGGAACGTAACACCAGCCAACGTGAAATGCTGAGAATCTTGAATGAAGAAGGCTATAATATCAAGGAAAGGGAGCTGATGCGTGTGCGTGCAAAGAATCGCTGGCTCCTCCGTGTCCCCAATGGGATGAAGTCACAAACGACAGTACAGTCTGAGACTCCACAGCCCGTAGAAGAGGGTCTGCTTGCGTTGCAGCAGGAGATTTACAAACAGGAACCATCCTATGGTCAGAACCAAACACTGACGACCCAGCCTTCTAATCAGCACCCCTTACCGCCTGGACTGTCTCCTGAAATTCTTGCAAAACGCAAGGAGCGACTTGAACGACTACAGGCTGAGAGCGCAGAGCGTTGGGCAACACGAAAGCGGCGACGTCGCACTCGAGGATGGGCGGGACTGCCAGCCGACCCCCCGGGCCGCCACGTTTCCCATCAGAGACTACAATTGATGAAAGTAAACGATATCTCAATCTAGACAACGCGATGTATCGGCAAATTCGTGATCAGTTTCAGAAAATATGTGAGGAAGCTGGTTTTATCAAGAAGACTGTTGCTGGTCCAGAACGATGGCAAGAGGCGAAGAATAAGCTGATCCGTGAATCGCCACACCTCCAAAGTGTGTTCTCCGTGGACCCTAACTCGACGGATACAAATCAGCTTGACGCGAAGGCTCTCGCGCTTGACATAGTCTGTACAGACGTCACAAAACGGATGAGGACACTTGAGCGACGGATGACAATTGCGGAGGCCAAAAATGCTCTTGGAATCAACCCAGAAGAGAGCCGACAGATACGAAATGCCTTCTACAATACACTGAAAGCTAACCATTTCACGAGTAAGCTCGAAGCAGGTGACGAACACTGGAGAGAATTGAAAGAGCGCTGGATCCAAGGCTCGCCTCTACTACAGCGAATATTGGCACCAGGGGCTGCTGATCCCGAGCATGCCACCAAGGTAAAGGCCATTGAGGTACTTTGTCGTGATGTTATGAAACGCTTGCGCGATGATCAAACGAAACGGGATCCATCACGGAAACGGTCTGCAGCACAACAAAATAACGTCCAAACTACTGCTTCAAACAATATCGGCAATACATATGGACAGGGGATCAACAATGGAATCAGCACTCTCGCCTCTCAGGCCCTTGCCAGTGCACCAATGGTGGCAGGTGACATTGGGGAGATGCAGATAGACCCGTCGCTCCTTCAGGCCGCCAATAATCCCTCGTTTGCGACTAGTTTTCAACAGAATGTTGGGCAATCATTCAACTATGTCGATCCGCTACTTGGATCTGCAATCCCACCAGTCCCAGTATATATCCGCATCAGTCCCGAAAGCGAGGTCCATGGCGCATCTAAAACTTGGGTCGAGAAGTTAACGACGCGCTCTGTGGCAGAGTTACGGGAACTCGTTTCGGCGAGATATCCGGATTCCATCCCTACCAGAATCGAAGGTATCGAAAAGGATGAAACTGGAAATGAAGTATCATTTTTAATTGACGAAGATCACGAACTGGATGCTTATTTGACCCATATGCATGGGAAGAAAGCAGCTTTTGTTGTCCGCTTGAATTCAATTCAGTGAATCGGACCAGGTATTGATCGAGCCAGAGAGAGTCGTGTCATCGCAATTGAACCAGATCAACTTCTCGACTCTTAGACTGTCCTATCATTACTTATGTTTTTGCTTATCTTGCTGACGAAAGGTGCAAGAGTAGAATATATGTAAGATTAGAGTGGCAGGAATACGGTTTGATGACAACGAAGCTAGACAAATCCTGAGCCATCGAAAACTTTTCCTATTCCATTCTAAACGCCCCATTTCGCCATAAGATATAGAGTTGCTTTTCACCTTGTGGTTGGGTAATCATTTCAAATCATGCGCTTCATAAGACTAGAGTTTTATGTCTTCAAAATATTTTAGTCCAAGTGTCGCTCACATTTGCGATTTCGCTCTGTCTCTTTCTGCCGGGTTGTATCTATTGCATAATGGTCAATAAGCAACTCGTATCAGCAAAAGCTGTGGGATTTACCGTAGCAGCTTCTCTATCAAGTCAACATGAGTCATGATCATCCTCCGACAACAATACCGTCTGCAACCTAACTGATCCATAGCGTCACTTGCGAAAACGATTAGACAGGACCACCGGTCACAGCTTCGAGTGATTCTTACCCATCTGGCACGCCTTCATCTAGTAACTGAAGATAACGTTCCCATAAGTCCCCAACGACCTAAGAATCGAGTACTTAGTGCGTGCGTGAAAACATCAAGATTAGTGAAAACACTTACCTTCCCACACGAGAAGCAACGAACAGGAATGATCATGACTTCGGTGAGTTCTGGGGCAATGGAATAACCCTCAAGACGGTTTAGGATGACAAAAAGTACAACAATCAGAGGTTAATGATTAAAAAACGATGAGAGCTTTGTTATTGCGAATAGTTTTTCGAAGAGATGATTCTTCTTTTCTGGACGACTGAATTTCACGACATTACTATCATTGTTCCAAAAACAGAGCTCCGCGGTGCCACTGGGGAGGAAATCTTAGCGCCATACCATTTTTGGAATAGTGTGATAATATCCACTTCCTTTTTTTTTTCTCTCGCCGCTCGATAGGTAGTACTGAGTGATCACTCATAACGGATAGTTTCCAGCTGACATCCTTCGTTTTGGTTTGCTTTGTGTCCAGTCGATCTTATTGTGGATTGCCTTAGTTGAGATGAGCTCCTCTCCCATTCGGTCGACACAAGCATCGAAAAGATCACGAACGAAGGATGTTAATCAAGACAATATGACTACTGAGGATCACAATAGGTCCAAGCGCCGCAAATTTTCCAGTGACGACAAAGGAACTACTGATTCCATAAAATCTGTTGTCTCTGATGAGCTACCTTATGACGGTAGTAAGCCGATTAACAGGGAGGGCGCCCAATCGCACCAGTGCATCGAACAAACGCGAAGTACTCCTACACGCTGGTCGCTTTACCATACATTTAGCGGTTATATCAGCAATATCGAGCCTATCTTCTCTCCCGACGAAAAGTGAGTTGTGTCCCTGCTTCACATTTTTTAAACTTGAGCTAATTGATCCTACTCCAGTTTCGTATTCTTGACTCTAGGCGGCGTCGTTCAGGTTTTTTCTCTGTCAACTTCTCGACCTTTTCGGTACCTCGAAACGAAAGACTCCTCGAAGATTCTTGACCTTAAACTTTCACCATCACGTCCAGAGCATCTGTACGCGTTGACGACTTCCGGAACTTTGATTCAATGGGATTGGGAGTCTAGTAAACGACTAGCAGTATGGGAGAAGTTTCAAAAAACCATCGCGTTCGAAATCTGCTGTGTCAAACTTGACGGGAGGGTGCATGTAGCATCGTTCTCTCTCCGAGAGAAGAAAGATGGACGCAGGCAGATATCGATCAGCCTTCTAGACGAAATGCAGTCGTCGAAGCAAGTACATGAATTTACTGTCTTGGAGACAGCTAAACATATCAGTAGGTTGAGGGTTCTTCAAGGAGGTCGAGTCTTAATCGCTTGTGACAGTCAGCATGTTATCATTGGCAACTCAAGTTCTGCTGGCAGTGGACCAGATGATCAACCAATCTACGTGTGGAAAGAGATCAGACTGCCAGTGAAGATTACTTCCCTTGATGTGCGGGAAAATTCAACCTCCTCGGAGTCTCTTACAACGCGCACAAGTTCCTCGTCAGATGCACCAGTCACTATTGATCTGGCTCTTGGTGAATCTAATGGCTCCATTTTAGTCTATCACGATATTCTGAACACCCTTCAGCGCAATGAAAGCATGGGAGGAACCGAAAAGAAGGGTCTTCCTCTTCTTCGGAAACTACATTGGCATAGGGAGGCCGTCAGCTCACTATGTTGGTCGCGAGATGGTAGGCTACTCCTTGCTTCGCGTTAAATGGAAAAGCTAATTGCTGTTGGTAGGTAATTATGTTATATCTGGCGGCAGAGAATCTGTCCTTGTCTTTTGGCAATTGGACTCGGGCAGAAAGCATTTCTTACCGCATTTGTCTTCACCTATTTGCAGCATGGCTATCTCCCGTAGCGGAAGGTTATATGCTGTCAAACTCTCCGACAACTCCGTAGTCATATTATCGGCCACGGAATTGGAACAAATAACCACTATTACCGGCTTGCAATTACCCCGATTGGTTCACAAAATGAAAGATATCAGTCCTGAAGGCAGTCAAAGTTCTTGTGTGATTCCGGCTTTGCTTCATCCGCAGAGACCTGACAGTCTCCTCATCGCTATCCCAGCTCGCCAGTCTATTTACGAGCAAAGTCATTCGCATGGGAATCTGTCCGTTCTTCAGACTTTCAATGTTCGCACTGGGTCTCACATCTCCCGCCAAGCTCTTGCTAGAACAAACATCACAGTTTTAAACAAGGGGCCTGAGGGAGCAGCCATAGTCTCTCCAGATATACAACATCTGGATATGAGTAGAGACGGTAAATGGCTAGCTACAGTTGACACTTGGAGTCCACATCGAGCAGATGTTGATGCTCTGCAATCTTTTCCTCTACGTAATGCAGACGACAGCCAATGTTACAGCGAGATCTTCTTGAAGTTCTGGGCGTGGAATGACTTGACGGAAGTTTGGGAATTAGTCACACGTATCGATGCACCTCACTATCGGACCGTTGATGGTCCGATACCGCTCTATTGTCTGTCATCGCGACCAGATCGACATGGATTTGCGACTCTTGGAGCTGATGGAGTCCTTCGAGTTTGGGAACCAACAACCCGGTATACTAGCTCAACGAAATCTCGAAGCCGTGGAATTCGCCCGGAGCAGACTTGGAAGTGCCAAACTTCGGTAGATCTGGCAGCAAGCTCCGGAATTGACCATGGTAAATCGTTAACGTCTGCATCTATGAGCTTTTCAGAAGATGGGTCCGTCCTCGCAATTTGCATGCAGGGTGTGGTACATCTCATTGATACCCATAGATGGGAAATACGTCGCACTCGCGGCGGGCTGTCGTTGAATGATGCCTTTTCAGTCAAATTCCTAGGTCGTTACGTGATCCTTACTTCAAAGAAGTCAACGACGATTTGGGATACAGTCAATGATGTTTTAAAGAGCATTCTGACCCCTGGCTCTGGTTCAACCTCGGGGTCAAATGAGATTGATACCATCTTTTTGGCTGTGAATTCCAAAACACAAAGTTTCGCTGTGGTGACCCGTTGCTCATCACAAGGTGATGACGACAAGTCGACAAAAAGACGCCGAAAGCTTTCTTACCAAGTCGAAGTATATAGCCCGCATTCTTCTCTTCCCTTGTTCCAGTCAGCTCTGGAGTACCCTCCTCTTTGTTTGTTGTCTGATCCGACAACTGGCGACTACATTATCGTGGATTCTGCAGCGAATCTCAAACGGCTTAGCTGCCACGAGAGTATTCAACCTGCGAGCGCGTCGGGTAGTACGTCTAATCATCTCAAAGCTGGCCTGGAAAACCTGTTCGGCAGTCTCAGCCAAGGTCTCTCTAAGCCGAAACATCCTTCTCTTGAAGAAGAAGCAACAATGTCTCAGTCAAGAAAATTGGATGGTATCTTCGACCGTGCACCTCCTTTCTCGTTGCCGCCTGTGAGCGTACTTTTCAAGGACGTCATCAATTCCCTTGTCACTACTTCCTAAAATCGACGGTCCTTTCAAAATAATCGATCACGCGCATTACTGTACGAGTGGGATTTTTCCCTTGAAAGATTAGGTGTTTGAATACAGGTCGGTGTCTTGATTTCCATATGTGGAGTTCAGAGTAGATTAACGGTCCCAGGCTTGGGATGAACTTGTAATAATTCTATATGCAATAGCAACAGATACAAAAGTGTAATCAGACCCAACAAGATAAACGTGCCGTGCTGCAAAAAAAAAGAAGTTAACAGGAAAAGATAGGTTGTAATCCTATTCCGCATGGATAGGCCAGAGATCGTAAGGTTGTCACCGATACCTCCATTGCTATCGAATCCTGTTCTTTCAGTCTGAGCTGAAGGTGCCTAGAAAATGGTGGCACTTTTAGTGGCGCTTGGAAGAAAGCAGACAAACCACTGTCCAGTAATCGCTTAATGCAGGCAATGATACCGGGTAAATGTTGGGAGACGAGCGGCTAACAGCCACTGAGGGACAGCAGCCAACCGTGTTCTTCTCTCAATGTTGTCGTGCCTGCCGGGCTCTCTGAATGGGTGAAGGTGCAATGTGATCACCCTGCAGGCGCCTAAATCCATGCTGCAAAGCAGGGCCTTGTTCCTCAAATTCCTCTTAGTGGTCGAATGAGTTTTTTCCCCAGACTTCTTGATGTTTCTTGCTAGGTCGATTGCTACGTCGATGGGTTCAGAGCTAGGGCAGCGCCAGTACAACCGCTTCCCAATGCCCTTTTAACCCTAACGTGGCGTCGAATCCTAGCCCACTCACCCTGTAGATATCATGTGGCTCATGCAACACATCAATGTAGTGTCCCTCTCAGTCTCTTATGCAACTACAAGCTCCACAGTCGCCGCTTCTCATAACATGTATCAGGCATATATATATATGTTCACATATGCATCTAGGACAGCCCGCAGAACATATCTGAGAGCTGAGGTTCTCCTCCCATCGACTCACTGAGAGCAACCCTTGCAACTGTCGTGGTGAGTTTATAGGTCCTTTTTTCGCCAGATAAAATTTGTTGGAGTAGCAGCTCATGTCACAAGTTTGTTCAGCTGTCGAAAGTCGCCATGATAGCTGTGAGACCTGCATGTTCTGTCTCTCCTAGCAGCTTGGGATCTTCGTTGTCTCAATATAGCAAATCGATAAAGCTTTCTACCTCCTCCAACTCTGTTCAATACCCCACAATGTATGCTTCACCTACTGTGCAGTCTTGAGAAACTGAAATTGCGATTGGACTGACACGAATTAGGTCTATTGATAATAATTCTTATGGTGCCACTCCCCAACCAACTGCAGTGAATGAAGAATTGAAGAGCATGTCCGAGCCATCTTCGGATGCCCTACCCCTGGTTGCGAATAGGGAAACCAATTTAAGAAACACTGCGTCAAATGATATGAAGTCGAACGTTAACTCGAAGCCTGGGGGAACGGGACAGGGAATTGCAAATACCGTTCAACCTGAACTCACAGTGGGTGAACTACAGCGTCCCATTGAGAAGCGTCTTACGCGAAGGCTCTAATTCGAGGGTGCATAGATACGAACTTCTGACACACTTTTTGCCAATTTTGAAGCAAGACCCGATGATGATGACCCTCCTCAATCAGTTATCCATGCGCCACCTGCTTTCGGCGACTTTGTGAGGACTCTCAAAGTCTCACGTACAACTAGAGGGTCAATAAATTAATTGGTCCTTTTAGAAAACCAACAAAGATCAAATGAATGCCGTTTCCAACAATGCGGATGGATTTTCCTCGGTCGAATCAGACATGATTGCGGAACCTTCGCGAGCGAATGAAGCTCAAAGAGTACAAAAGGCTGGGCATACTTACCATTTGCTGTTCCTTTACTAATTGTGGTGCTAGAAATCTTTCAATAGTCCCGTTTCACCACCGCCACTGACCACTACTATTCCACCTGCAAAAGATTGGTCTGAGCGAGCTACACCTCGAGCTCAGACAAGGCCGGAGATCGAAGACCTTGATCGGCCCCCGCGTTCCAGCAATCTGGAAGGTATCAGATAAATGGATGGTTTTCCGGTTTGCGCTATTGCTAACGGCAACCCAGACATACCAGAAAGTGCAGACGTTGTTACAGCCGTGGAAGAAGTCTACGAAGCGCCAGACAAGCGGGTTTTAGTGTCGGAAAATCTTCAAGATAATGGGGACGAAATCAATGCGTTGAGAACAGCACTCGCCGAGTGTTGGACTCTCTGCAACACCCTGGCAAATCTCAGTTATATCCATCGTGAACGCCTGTTTAATTTCTCTGAGAAGGGAGACATGCAAGAGTTAGCGTGGAATTCCTGCTGGAAATTATGTCAAAAGCTTTATGACAGCCAAGACGATGACTATCCATCGCATGTCACACCTACTCTCGACCTCTGCCGTGACTTCTGTCAAGCTTTGTTCGAGGTCCGGGTTCGCGATAACGAGATCGCAGACTCTGTTCTACGAGTGAGTTTTGAGCTAAACAACCATCTTTACAATACCCATGATCGAAATCTACCAGAAGCGTTTCGGGAACGTACTTTGGACTTTTACATCACCCTCTGCCATCGTCTTATGAAGCAACGTATGCATTTGGCAGAGGAAACGGAATCACTGCTTCACGCATGTTGGTCTTTAGCAGAGATGCTCTTTAGCCTACGTCAACGCAGGCACCAAAGTAAGCGACCGGATGAAGAATTACTGGGCTCAGCCATTCAGGCATGCTGGGAGCTTTGTGATCTCTTCAGGGAAGGTTGGACTCAAATCAGGCCAGATCGTGGTACACCACGTCCAAGCCAGACAGCGTTTAGCCAGACATGTTACCAAACCAAACAAACAGAGGGTGCTGTGGTTGATGATAGCATTGGTCAGCAAGGCAACCCTGAAACCCCGACGACCATCTTTGAGGACACGGCGACAGCGTCACCAGATGAGGCCCCGACTCCCAATATTCTTGTTCTGGAGCACGGGCAGACCCAAACTACCCCTGCAAAATGGTCGTCTAACTCTTCAACTTTGTCAGGGCGTTCACGCTCGTCAGAACAGTCGTCCTCAACCAACACCATCACTACACCCTCGGGACACCCTAATTTGATGCCACTAAAGCTTCTTGTCGCCAAGGCCGCAATGAATAGTGGCTACCAACGCGATAGCTCGCAGAACCTCGCATCTTTCGCGAAGTCTCTATCTTCGGATTCTTTTGGTTCACTGCCGTGGCAAGTCACCCTCTTGGAGAACTATAAAAACTTGGTTGTGTCAGACCCAGCATTCAGAGTGATTAGCCCTCCAGCTCGTGCAAGCGCCCTCGAGATAGCACGAGCTGTGCAAGCGATGACACAGAGTGGGCAATACACGTGGTTGCGGGACCTTTATCGACTAGTCTTTGGTTTCCATCCGGAGGAGGCTATGAGCCGGAGAAATGTGACTATTCAAACCTGAGATATTGACACGATTACGAGATTATGATATGATTATACCCCTCCTCGATAGTTCGGGCCTGTTGTCGGAATCCACGACTAAATCTACTGCTGACAATAATCTGTGCATAGCTTCTGTCAAATTCTCTAGCTGAGCCTTCCGCTGGATCCAGATATAATGTAACAGACATCGCCCGGAATTCTTGATCGGACCGTGTCCGAATCGGAGCCGTAGGGAGTCAGGAACCCGAAAAGAGCCGGGCTGAGTGGCGCCACTGTGTGAGCTCGATGATTTGAAGTCAATTTGAGTGGGGAAGGCGGAGACAGAGGGGACATCCGACTGGCCCATGTAGTGCAGCCTAAAGATTGACATCCCTCGGTTCCTAGGTAGGTACCTAAGTAGGTAGGTATATGTTGTAATAGTTATTACCTCAACCGTGAGAGATGATGAAATTATCTACGAATGACCTACAAGGCAGCATTATCTTCTTATTGCTTCTGAAATCACCTGAAACTAAAAATGTGACATCTAAGAGTTGCAGGCAATGGATTTATGTGACTGCATAATAGGTCACTCTGTTTAGAGCACATCATTATGTTGCACCGTGCAGTGTGGGCAGGGTCCCGCCAAGAGGGGCTTGTGTGCCTGTGGAACCTGGGGAAGACACCAGCTTGATTAGAAGGAGATACGCCACGCTAGGTGGGTCTGGGGCGCACTTTGGTCAGCTAGGCGTCCTAGTGCTGTGGGTTAGTCTATTCTCTTCCCACACGTCCCCACGTCTGAACATGCGACGTCGAGAGGGCTCCCCCTCGTTCAACCAATTAAAAGCATGCCCAGCCTTTCAATTGCCTGGGATGGATGGGTCGGCAACCAATTCTGCATGTGCTCTCCAATGTCTCCATATTCTTGGCAACGGTGGCATACTCGGAACACCTGCCCATGAACTTTCAGCCTGTCCTTTTGCAACCGATTGACCCTGGCTGCATGTTTTCGCATCGGGCAAAGACGGACGGGAATACGGAGTGACACGGAATACCCGATCCTGCGATCGTCTGTGTCCAAAAAGTTAAAGCTTATTTAGCATTCTCCCCGATGCCGCTGGTATGCTTATCTAACTAATCTGCACTCCGTACTTCGTTACCCCTCTTTCATCTCCCAGTGTGGACTGTGGAGAACCACCCCGCCAAGGTTAATTAATTAACTAGGTATCCATGCCTTCACGCCCCGTACGAAGTACGGACGGTGTCGTAGACTGATAAGGGCACTTGGTGATTGATTGGACAGTTCATTGAATCATCTTTTTTACCTGTTCGTGCGATCTAATTTGTGCAGGCAACAGGACCGACGAATATTTGTCTCTTCGGCGTCGCAATGATCTTCGGGATACCGGATAGCATTGAAAAGAGATGTCAATTCTGTCGGAAAAACTCCATGTCAGAGTGTACCGTCCAACGCCGAGCATACACCCCTCGTATCCCCAGCCGAGCCGATTCCGTTGCCAGAATTCTACCGGGAATCCTCCGATGGTAGATGCAATTTCCCAAGTCGTTTGTACAATTGGCTGTCCCCCTCGGTGCGCGGGGACTAGAGTTGATACGGATAAAGCATCCCTCCAGAACCGTTCCCCACACATTGCGTCATTTTGGCTGACGTTAGAGGCAAAGATCCGCTGCCGACCCGCTCTTTGGGCGAACTCTAGTGGAGCAAGAGGCCAATGATTCCAGCCTCTCCAACCTTTCCTGCAGATCTTCCGTTTTGGCTTGCACATCACCCAGTTTTTGTGATCTTAGCGTTTCAAGCCGCGAAGGACAATGGCTGACCAAGTGGTTCTGTATGTCCTCCATCCATATTATCCACTCCCCAAGTGGATCGCAACGGGACGAAGTCTATCCCCCTATGATCGCATGCGAAGAATTTTTTGAAGATTTTTCATTGTGTAGCCTTGGTTCAAGGCAAGATTGCGGTGGGAACGAGAAGTTACAACCGCTGTGGTGTATTGCACACACTTAGACCATATGCATCTTAGCAGCATTTATAAGGGGAGATCATCCCTCCGCATTTTCGAAAATCTGGCTTCCCCCATTTTCCCTTCCATATCCCCGAGACCATCCAGTCTATGAATGTTTTCCTTTAAACCCTTTGCTTGTGTTCAATACAGTCGCCGATTTGACAGCAACATCGGTCAACGGCGAGGTTTTTTCTATCATCTCCAGCAGGTTCTGTTGAGAGAGAACGGCAAATTGCCACGGGAAACTGTGGAAGACTTTGACTACGGCCTCAACTTTTTGAAAAACAACAATCTCGAGCCGTAACGTCTACTGTCACTCGTCATGTCGGTTCCTGAATATGCCGGCATGTCCGGCAAATCGCTATCCCGGTCGATCTCGACCGTTGCGACCATGGGATTTCTGCTGTTCGGATACGACCGTATGTTCTTCCACGACAATAGCGCTGAATACGTATAGTGCTAACTACATCACAAGAGGGCGTCATGAGCGGCATCATTAGCGCAAAGCCTTTCAACACTGTTTTCCCAGCTACGTACAATGATTCCACCATGCAGGGTACTGTTACTGCGATTTACGAAGTGGGTACGTGGTTCCCTAAGACGATTATTCTTTTTTTTGAGATTACTAAGAGTTGTTCCTTAGGTTGCCTCGCTGGTGCGATGTTCATCCTGTGGTTTGGTGATTGGCTGGGCCGACGCAAGTCAATTATACTTGGTGCCGCCGTAATGATTCTTGGTGTCATCATTCAGGTGACTGCTTATCCTGGTCATGTTCCTCTTGCCCAGTTTATCATCGGGCGAGTGATCACTGGGATTGGCAACGGCATTAACACTTCTACCATTCCTACGTATCAAGCAGAGTGTTCTCGTACTTCGAATCGGGGCCTGCTGATATGTATTGAGGGCGGTGTTATTGCCTTTGGTACTCTTATCGCTTACTGGATCGACTTTGGATCGTCGTATGGCCCAGATGATCTCACATGGCGCTTCCCCATCGCGTTTCAAATCGTCTTCGGTGTTGTCATCATAGCTGGCATGATGTTTCTGCCTGAGTCGCCAAGGTGGCTCTTTGTCAGAGAGCGATATGAGGAAGGCGAAAGTGTGATCGCGGCTCTTCTTGCCAAACAAGTCACCGATCATGAGGTTCAGCTTCAAAAGAATCTGATATTAGACTCAATCAGAGCGTGAGTCTACGTGTCTCCTAACAAACGATTTTGCGGCTGCTGACTTGCAACCAGGTCCGGTCAAGGTGGAAAGTCTACACCTATGTCTGCTGTTTTTACGGGTGGAAAGACGCAGCACTTCCGGCGTATGATGTTGGGTGCATCTTCCCAGTTCATGCAGCAGATTGGTGGATGCAATGCGGTAATTTACTATTTCCCAATCCTTTTCGAGAAATCAATTGGTGAGACACACACCAAGTCGATGCTCCTTGGTGGGGTCAACATGATTGTCTACTCAATCTTTGCTACTATGTCGTGGTTCTTGATTGAACGGGTAGGGAGGCGAAAGCTCTTCATATATGGGACCATAGGGCAATGTCTGTCCATGGTCATTACTTTTGCCTGCCTAATCCCTAACAAACCATCAACCGCAAAAGGCGCAGCAGTGGGTCTGTTTACCTACATTGCAAGCTTCGGGGCTACCTGGCTTCCCTTGCCTTGGCTCTACCCAGCTGAAATCTCTCCAATCAAGACCCGTGCTAAAGCTAATGCTCTCTCAACATGTTCAAACTGGCTCTTCAACTTCCTGATTGTCATGGTAACCCCTGTCATGATTTCTGGAATAAAATGGGGCACATACCTTTTCTTTGCTGTTGTTAATGCATGTTTCTTGCCCATCATTTACTTCTTCTATCCCGAGACAGCTCGGCGGTCTTTGGAAGAGATTGATCTCATCTTCGCCAAGGGCTATCTGGAGAACATGAGCTATGTGCGTGCGGCGAAGGAACTACCTTATCTCTCTGATGAGGATGTCGAGCGCGTCGCCATCCAGTATGGTTTCGGCCCCCCAGACGCGGAGGCGAAAAGCGCGAACAGCGGTGACAGTAGAGAATTTGCCGCTGCAAGGATTGAAGACAGGACGGAAAGGTATGCAGAAAAGGGTATCTGGAACCAAACAGACTAAGAGAATGGGCTGGGAAGGTTTCTATCCCCCTCGCCTTGGGAGCATATGAACACTGGTTCTCATCCAATGAGAACTTGTTTGTTTGCTGGTGGTTTGAACTGTATCAGATACAAGACATACACCTTGAAGGTGTCTACATGTACAGTGATAGAACATATACATCTTACCACCCTTTTTTATGCTGGTATTTTCTGACAATTTGCTCATGGTGCCTAATGAATAGGTAGAGAGGTTGTTAAAAAAACAAAAGATGAAAATTTCTGATTGCAATTAACATACCTTCCTGAAAGCATTACAAGAAGAGATACACAAAAAGACAAGGTCTTATCACACCATGTGTGTGTGCTGCTTCCAACCTTTTAAAAATACAACCTCTATAATTAAAAAGTGCCTTTCATATCTTTATCACATTGGACAACATCTGAAATTGAGAGGCTATATACACAAAATTGACCACCTTTTTATATAAGTAGCAAAATTGTCACGGGCCAGAGCCCGCAGGACCTAGGGCTTGGGCTTATGCCCTTGCAAAGCCCCTGAATCCTGACCTGTAGAATCCTTACTAGACCTCTCTGCTGTGCCTTCTAATTAGCTGCTGTACCTAAGCAAAAGCCTATATTAATCTTTGCACATATGGCTGCAGACCTTTTTTAATTATAATATCTTATGTGACAGGAAAGTGCTTTTCATCTTTTGATCACAATCACACACAGAAATCTGACACTGAGAGGCTATACACATAAAATTGACAACTTTTATATAAGTAGCAAAAATATATTTTCCTTTATATAATAGGAAATATATATTTTTATTAACTTACTTATATAACACTTATATATAACTCTACACCCTATTATACTTAGTATTAAGGCTAATAATATATTACTATAATAGGCAATAAATTAAATAAAAAGCTAAAATTAGAGTTTAAAAAACTTATAAGATTCCAAGCCTGTATAATTAACTTCTTATAAGAAGTTAAATTACTTAAGGTTATTATTAAAGAGACTAAAAACTTACTATTATTAAGTATCTTCTTAAGAGCTATTAAATGACAGATACCCCAGGCATCCAGCAGATGCATGTCTTGGCTCACTTAGGCCTCACTGCCCTTGTAGGCGCCTATAAGTAGTCTGCAGGCTGCAGGCCTTCTTAGAGAATCTAAGCTACTTTTTCCTGCAAATCCTCTTATTAGGTTATGGGCCTAGGGTCTTTTTTGAAGCTTATAAGCATTCTAAAACCCCCTAGTAGCTTCAAAATTATCAATATTGTTAAATCTCTATAGAAAATATGCTTTTTTTGCCTATAAGAGGCTGCCATTATAATGCTATTATTATTATTATTATTGAGAGCGTTTTTCAGTCAGAGACTATGCACGCTCTGCCTACTACCTAGGCAGTAGGGCTTAGTAGCTAATATCTATATACAGGTGGGTTATGCTATAGACCAGTCAACAGTGGGAACCTTCTATGAGGGACAGAAATAGGGAATGAGAGACAGGCTGTAGTATAATGTAAAGAAATCAAATGTTAAGGAATAGTAGGTATAGGTGGATTTAACAAAGACAAAGAAATGAGAGAAAGAACAGAAAAAAAAAACACAAAGGGGAGTCAGGATAGGAGAGGTGGCTTAATAAGCATGATTAGATAATCTATGCCTAGTAAGCCTGGTTCTATGGGTTAGACTAGGTAGTAGGTTCTTGCTTAATCATTAGCGCCTATGTGCCACTTCCTAGTGGCTATTTTTGTCTCCTTTAGGAATTCAACTAAACTTTCTTGGCCGTCCTTAGAAAAGAGATAGAAAAGATTATAATCTCTATAGGCTGGGCAATGGAATAGTAGATGATATGGGGTCTGCTCCTGATTGGTTTGGCATAGATTGCATGTTCCACTATTATATGCAGGTAGCCTGACTAGGTATGACCTAAAATAGCCGCCTGGAACTTAGGCAAAGAATGTGAAGTCTATGATGCTGAGCTCTATGCAATCAAGAAAGCCCTAAAAACAGCCTATAAAAGGCTTCAGATTCAGACCTTAGGTGTCTGGATCTTCTCTGATAGTCAGGCTGCCCTAAAGGCTCTAAAGAAGGGAGACCCTAAGGCTAGTCAAGCTCTATATAGAGATATCTACAATTGGGCTCAGAAAATTAGGGAAAAAGGGGTTCAAATCTACCTAGATTGGGTCCCTGGTCATATGGGCATATATGGGAATGCTAAAGCTGATGAATGTGCTAAATATGGAGCTGATTGGTCAGAAAAAGACCCTAAGACCTTCCTATCTATTAGCTTCTAAAAAAG